CCCAAGCCGAGAAAAGAAAAAGAAAACAAACAAATCAAAACAGAACAAATCAGAGCCAACAAACAAAAAAGACCCGAGGGTCCCACCAGCGTAGCAGCACGGGGTAGGAAGCAGTTTCACAGTCAAGTGGTGTTTCGTAGCCTTTCAGGAAGAAGCAAAGATGGCGCACGGAGGCAGGTATTTGAGAGAAAGGAGGGGGAGGTGGTAAGAGGTATGGAAGAAATCTGAAGAAGCAGAAAAAAGCAACACCAGCAGCCAACAAAAGGCACTTAAGGGAGCCAGCCAGTGTGGGCGAGTGAAATCCAAGCGACACTGGGGTGAAGATGGTGCTTCCTGGCCAGGAGACTGTGGCTGCAGGAAACAGAGGAAGCTAAGTAGGGGGTGGGAAAGCCTACACTGCTGGTTACCAGTTGTTCTGTCTCCTGCTGGAAGCACCATGAAGCTGCTTTCTCATAACCCCTGTTCGCTGATCTCCAATAAGAGTCCAAGATGGCGGATCTGTGCTGCAGTAGCTGATAGGGGACCTCTGTGTGTATCTCTCCTCGCTCTCTGTTCTCAGTCAGTTTCTTATTCCATTCGGTGCTTGGCTGACTTCTTTATCTCTTCATTTGATGCTTAGGGTTTCAGGATTGACGTGTGACTCTGTTTGACTCAGTTTTTCTGATCTTTGCTGCGGAGGGACAGTGTGGTGCTTCTAACTATAGTGCCATGTTGCCCGGAAGTCTGAGTTCTCATTTTTTGAAGCAACTCATTCACTGTAATACTTGGGCAAGTCACTCCATCATCTCATTCAGCTTCAATTTTTCTTATGATTAAAACAACTGATTTCTAATATAGTCCCTTCTATCTCTAACATTCTGTAATTGTGCTAATCCTCTTCTAGGGTTCAGGCCTGAGCTTCTCTAACTCTCCTTTCCATTACTCCACTTAGGCAAAGGCTAGGGCTGAGTTCCAGGCAGAAAAACAAAGACAATGTGTAGTTTGCCTCCAGCACAAGAATGGCTGTGATCAATTCCATTTATCCTTAAATCAAAGCCTTACCTACTAATATCAAAACTTAAGGATAAACTGAAGACTATGTACAATGAGTTTAAATTAAGACAGTGAATTAGTATACTTCAGTGGAAATCACCTAAGCACTGTTTTCTATTGGGAGCAACAGCGACAGTCTAATTTTAACGGGAGCAGCTATTTCTCTGAGTTGAAAAAAAAAATTCTACTTGATTTCCTTCTGAGAAATCATTTTGAAAGGAGGAAATACATAGTGTAAAACTTCAGATAATACACAGTTTATATCTTACTTACATATTTATATATGTAATTCTTGGAAGAAAGGCCTGGCAATCTACTTACAAATAACCAGCCACTGAAAGCCCTATGGAGTGCAGCTCTACTCCGACACACAGAGGGTTGCCATGAGTTGGAATCAACTCAATGGCAACTTTTTTAAAAATATATAACTCACGTATCTATCCTTTGGCATCTTTATGTGACTAGATAAAAGTCTATTTAAAATTTTTTTAAAATCATGCTTTAGGTAAAGTTTACAGCTCAAGTTAATTTCTCATTCAAAAATTTACACACATATTGTTTTGTGACATTGGTTGCAATCCTCACATGTGACAGCACGCTCCCCCTTTCAACCCCGGGTTCCCTGTGTCTGTTTGTCCAGTTCCGGTCCCTTCTTGCCTTCCTGTCCTGCTTTTGGACAGGAGTTGCCCATTTGGTCTTGTATATTTGATTGAACTAAGAAACATGTTCCTCATGTGTGCTATTTTTTGTTTTATAGGCCTGCCTAATCTTTGTCCGAAAAGTTGGCTTCAGGAATGGTCTCAGTTCTGGGTTAGTAGAGCGTTCGGGGCCCGTAGCTTCGGGGGTTATTTTAATTTTTGAAATGTTAAATTTGTAATTAAAATAGCTAAGCAATATAAGCTATGTGTTTAATAAATTATAGAAGTTATTAAACAAAATTATTCAATACATTTCTTTAAACATTTGTCCTTCCCATAAACTGTATCAGAAAAAATTTCTAAATATTCATGATTGGCCATCAACTCTTAATGAGTTCAGATTTTATTAAAAAATTAGCTATGACACCCAATCTGGAGCAAGGGTAAATGAAAAAAACCAAAGACACAAGGGAAAGATCAGTTCAAAGGACTAATGGACCACAACTACCACAGCCTCTACCAGACTGAGTCCAGCACAACTAGATGGTGCCCAGCTACTACCACTGACTGCTCTGACAGGGATCACAATAAAGGTCCCAAACAGAGCTGGAGAAAAATGTAGAACAAAATTCAAATTCACAAAAAAGACGAGACTTACTGGTCTGGCAGAGACTAGAGAAATCACGAGAGTACGGCCCCAGGACACCCTTTTTAATTCAGTACTGATGTCACTCCTGAGGTTCGCCCTTTAGCCAAAGATTAGACAGGCCCATAAAACAAAATAAGACTAAATGGACATACCAGCCCAGGGGCAAGGACGAGAAGGCAGCAGGGGACAGGAAAGCTGATAATGGGGAACCCAAGGTCAAGAAGGGGAGAGTGTTGTCAAGTCGTGGGATTGGCAACCAATGTCACAAAACAATATTTGCATTAATTGTTTAATGAGAAACTAATTTTTTATCTGCATGATAAAAAAAAATTAGCTATAATAAAAAAATAAAATTATCCATTTCTCTAATATTAAGAAATCAATCTGAAAATATAATTAGAAACTTCTGTGTGTTATGAAGAAAATTTAAATATATAACAAAACAGACATATACACTAAAAAAAAAAGTCTGATTAATCAATTACGATTTAATCTGATATTGACACCTAATTCTCCCATCTGGGAAACAGGGAGAAGAGAGGTGTAGAAGAGCTAAATTATTAAGTCAATAAATAAATGTCTAAATGGAAAAATAAAGGTGCAGCATAAAGGTTTTATTTAGAAATATGAAGGTAAAAACTGAAGCAACAGCTGTAAAAATTAAAACAGATTGCCTTTAGGTAGGAATAAGGGCCAAAGAAGTGTAAGGCAGGGGAATGCTATTTTGTCTGTTTTTAAGTACACACCTTGCAAAGCTATTTGACTTTTAAAACTATATACAGGACAAGACAGAGAAACAGAGTCCAGATTTACTCTCCCACCTAAAACAACAACAAAAAACCCAGATAAAATATATGAAACAAACAGGTTTCAAGAAACTGGACATTAAGCAATGAAGGACGGTGATCCCTAGGACATAGGAAACAAATAAGGTAATATGATTATACCAGTTTACTGACTTTAGAGTTTCCAGGTTGGCAGCACAGGGAAGAGACCAAGAGGAACCTCTGAGTTGAGGAGATGAGAGTTTGGGGACAGCAAGATACTTAGAGTTCTCAGGACAGAGTACCAGAGAAGACAGAGCTACACAGATTTTTTTTATTTCAACACAGTCCAATAGTCAATGTGAATATCTTCCAATCCATGTAGACAGTCCTTTCCTCTTTTGTTATTTTTGATGGTTTCATTTTGCAACCTTTTTATAAAAATACATCTGGAATTTATTTTGGTTTAAAGTGAGGTTCCAAATTTATTTTTATCTGACTTAGTGGAGGGGCAGACAAGCCTTCTCCTGTTCTGGAGCCAGTGACTTAATAATGATTCTTTGCCTTTCTCTAAAACTCTTATTATCTCTCTTGTTTAAAGTAATGAACTTTTTTTTTCTTTCCTGATTTCACTGTGCTTTTCTATATATTTCCAAAGAAAATAAAAATTAGTAATTTCACCACCAAGAGATAGTAACTGTTAAACAATATGTTACACGTATATTCCATTCAATTCAACAAATACTTATCGAGAGCCAACTACAAGTTAGACACTAGGTATACAACATAAAAAACAAAACAAATATGGAGTCTACCTTCATGGGATTTACTCACGGTCTAGTAATATAAACAGATTATTCTAAAAACTTACTAGTGTGGTGAATGCTATCAAAGGAGTACAGACTACACGCTTTACATTTTTTTAAAAACAATGGACATAAGACAAATCTTAAGAAATCACATTTCTCACTATCATTCCAGGACTGTTACTTTTCAGTTTACTTTAAGTGGGATCTTTTTCCACTATAGTCTCTAACTTCCCCCTTTTCTTCATACAAGCCCTAACATGATTTCATTAGCATTGGAAAAAACTGGCAACTAACCTACTTCCTAGACCTCAAAATCATTATTGCTTTTAACAAATCAAACTGAATACGAAAAGGCAGAATGTTCCAGATCTATAAAGAAGTATTCAATTGAGTGCTGCAACCTATAAAAAGCGTTTTACCTTCATTGTAGGGCACTGGATTGCCAATCTTTAATCCAACTGCTTCTGCTGATTTCAAAACTTCTAACTCCATCAAAATAACTACTCTCCTACAAAGGCAAACAAACAAAAACAAGTTAGAATAATAAAATAAATTCAGAAGCCCTTCAGTCAAATGATAAGCTATTAAAAAGCTTTCCCCCAGTAATCATTCTGATAAAACTATTTCCCTTTCTCAACTGTTTTTCACTGCTGGATAACTTGAGAAATACATGCTATCAACTCCTACAAAAATATTTCCTTTTATCTTTCACAGCATCATTATCGAGGCTTTTTATGATTGCAGGGTTTTCATTTCCCATCCAGTCCCTTAATTAAAATGCAGCATCCTTACTACATACCATATCTTCAAGGAGCAACTGACATGATAAGAATTTAGATTAAACACAAGAATATATGGCACAGAAACAGATTTATCTGTTTTCAGAAACATATACTTATCTAAACAATTACTTTTTCCCTGAAAACCAATTATGACAGAAGATACAAAGATAATGTAAATATTACCCATCTTTAAGAACTTGTAATCTGGTCTATCTTTAACTCTTCCCAATGACCTCAGACCAAAAATGAAAAGCACTGACATGGTCTACAAGTTCTGGGCAGTCTGGCTTACGAAGCTCTCTCCAGCTCATCCCACCTTGGCTCTGTGCTCTCTAGCTGTCCTGTTTTCTTTCAGTTCCTGGTATACAGTAAGCTCTCTCCTGCCACAAGGCCTTTGTACATGCTACTCTTTGACTGTGATGCTCTGCACTAATTCTGCCATCACTGAATACTTGTTTTTTAGCTCTCATCTCAAACAGCACTTCTTCAAGAGATACTTCCTTAATCTTTACTTCAGATTTCTTTGTTATACTGTCTCCTACAACCATGATTTCTCTCCTTCAGAACATTTCTGTCAGTTTTTAATTACATATTCCTTAGTTATTTGATTATTATCTTTTTCTCCTACTAGACGGTCGTTTCAATGAGGGCAGGAATCTTCCAGTGCTTAATGCAGCAACTGGTCCATAGGAGTCACTCGATACATACTTGACTGAGAATATCTTGGTAATATTTGCATTTTAAAAAGAACTGCAATGGGGAGGAAAAAAAGAATTGCAATAAGAAAAAGAAATCTGAGGGCAACATACTGGAGGCAGGAAAACTAATTAGAAGAGAAGAAATGATGGTGGCCTGAATTAGGGTAGTGGCACTGGAGATGAAAAAAGTAGATGGTTTGGAGCAATAGTTAAATAACAATAAATCCAACTTCAGCATGTTGTATTCTTTAAATAGTTTGATGGCTGTATTTTGAACTTTTACATATAATTCATAAGTCTGTGCTACTCTTATCAGGTTCTCCTATCAGGGTTACATTGTTGTTGTTAGGTGCCGTCGGTTCTGAATCACAGTGACCCTTATGTACGACAGAACAAAATACCGCCTGGTCCTGCACCGTCCTCACGATTGTTATTATGCTTGAGCCCATTGTTGCAGCCACTTTATCAATCCATCTCTTGAGGGTCTTCCTCTTTTTCACTGACTGATCCTCTTCAGGGGCTCATCTTCCCACCCTATATCAATGTTCCGCTGCTATTCACAATAATAAGTAGCAGGGTTATGTTACTTTAACAAAATAAGCTTGAAACTATCTGTTCTTAAAAATTACACAGAGATAGTCCCTTTAAAAATTATCTGATGGATACTTGTTGTTGTGTGCCACCGAGCTAATTCTGACTCATGGCAATAATATAGGACAGAGTGAAACTGCCCCATAGTGTTCCCTGGGCTGAAATCTTTACAGGAACAGATCGTCACCTCTTTTCTCCCGCAGACTGGCTGGTGGGTTTGGATCACCGACCTTTCAGTTAGCAGCCAAAAGCTTAACCACTGTGCTACCAGGGTTCCTTGATAGATACTTAGTGATGGGTATTCAACAACCTTCCAAAATTATCCAAATTGCTCCAGGACATAAAAATGGAAGGCTTATCAATCATTCAGCATTACCCTAATATCAATACCTAAGAGAACAGACACACATACAGAATCAAAACTAATTTCATCTTGTAATACATACACATACATCTTAAATAAAATATTAGCAAGATGAATCCAGCAGCATATTAAAATACACCAATACTAATTTACAGAAAATACAGATGACAGACGAACACATTAAACGACATTACTGGAATGCAATCAACAAAATCCAGACTGTGGGAGGATAAAAAGATACATGACCTGGTTTCTTCAACAAATAAATAGTATAGGAGAAAAAGAGACATGGAGAAGGAACCTTACAGACTCAGAGACTTAAAAGACAATCAACCAACTGTAATGTAAACTTTACAGGCAGTCCCCAGGTTATAAACATCTGAGGTAGGAACCAACTCCGTAAAGCTTATTAAAAATCTGAGGTACATACAATGGTTAGTAATAACAAACAGGCGCTAATTTGCGACAAGCGTCAAAATATTATTATTATTACATTACTATGTTAAAGATGTTTTAGTGTATCTGGAAGTGTTTTTTTAAATTTTTTCATACACAGAAAGATACACTATATACATATACTATATGTTAAAACAAACATTTAACTGGTGTTAGATACAAACCATACCTAACTATTCAGACTTACATAAAAATTTGACTTAAAGACAGACTTACGAATGGAACTCGTTCGTAGCCTGGGGACTGCCTGTACTATGAATCCTGAATATATGGATATCTATTTAACAATTTATATATATACATATATATACACAAAAATATATAGATGTGTGTGTACGAATGATAAATGAAAACGGAACACTGACTGGATAGTTGATGTGGTGGAATATATGGGGGTACACCCACTGACGTCGAGTTGATTCCGACTCAGAGTGACCCTAAAGGACAGAGTAGAACTGCCCCATAGGGTTTCCAAGGAGTGGCTGGTGGATTCGAACTGCTGACCTTTTGGTTAGCAGCCAAGCTTTTAACCACTGCACCACCAGAGCTCCATACGGACAACCCAAGAGAATATACAAATTATTAGAACTAATAAGACAGCTCAGTAAGGTTGGTAGACATAAGATCAACAGGGGAAAAAAAAAAAAAAAAAAGGCCAAGCAGTCATATTTATATCATTAATAGTCCACTAGAAAATATAATACTCAAATTAGCAAAAAAGCTGGAGCAGTGGTTAAGAGCTATGGCGAGCTATGGCTGCTACCCAAAAAGTTGGCAGTTCGAATCCACTAGCTGCTCCTTGGAAACCCTACAGGGCAGTTCTACTCTGTCCTGTAGGGTCACTATGAGTCAGAATTGACTTGATGGCAATGGGTATGGGGTCAGGGGTACACAAAACTTTCCTGTATTCTGTCTACTTTTGTATGTTTTAAATTATCCAGAATCAAAAACAAACACATAGATTTTTAAAAGAGAGAAAGTCAGCAAAGTGGGAGCAAAAGAAAATTTTAAATGCAGGGTTTACTGCAGGAATGCAACGATAGTTCAATATTAGATAATCTATTAAGATAATTCATCGTACTAAATTAAAGGATGAAAAAATAAGATATAGGAAAACCTTCTGTAAAAAAATTCAGCAGCCTTTTCTGATAAAACTCTAAGTAATAGAAGGACCTAAAAAACTTCCTAAACATAATAAAGTACATGTATTCACATGATAAATACCATGTTGAATATTAAAACTAAAAATATTTCCATTAAAATCAGGGTAAAAACAAAGTACCTGCTTACACTATTACTGTCCAACACTGATTTGATGATGGTTCCAGCTAATGCAGTAATTAAAAATAATAAATAACATAAATGTTAGAATAAAAAGATAATACAATTGCATGTATATAAAATCCAAGAGACTTTAAGTGAACACATATGATATTCTTGGATAAGAACACTTAATATCAAATACTATAAATTTAATGCAATCCTTTGCATTCCAACGAGACTTTTGCTTTTTTTCTTTGCTTTTTTTGAACTTGACAATATAACTCTAAAATTCATATGGAAGAATAAACATAGAAGTGCCAAGAAAATTTTGGGGGAAAAAAAGTAAAGGAGTCTATGGTTTATAAAGTACCAAAATGATCTACAGAGACATACTTTAACTGCAACTGTATGGCAGATAGTAACAAATATTGGCAGAGATGTAGAGAAACTGGAGCCCTCATATGCTGCTGGTAGAAATGTAAATTGGTGCATCCACTATGGAAAATAGTTGGCAGTTCCTCAAAAAGTTATAGAGTAACCATTTGACCCAGCAAATTCCACTCCTAGCTGTACACTCAAGGGAAATAAAAATGCATGTCCACACAAAAACTTGCTACCAAATGTTCATAGCAGCATTATTCATAATAGCCAAAAGGTGAAAACAACCAAGTATCCATCAACTGATAAATGGACTTAGAAAAAGTAGTATACACAAACCATGGAATGTTATTCGGCCACAAAAAGGAATTAAGTTCTGATACATGCTACAACATAGATAAATGTTGAAAATATTATGCTAAGTGAAAAAGCAAGTCATAAAGAATCTATTACACTGATACAAAATGTCCAGAACAGGTAAATGCATAGAGACAGAAAGCAGACTAGTGGCTGCCCAGGACAGATGGGACAGGGAGTTGAGGGAATGACAGCTAAAGGGTACAGGGTTTCTTTTGGGGGTGATGAAAATGTTCTAAAATTAACTGTGGTGATGGCTGAACAACTGTGAATACACTAAAAATCATTTAATTGCACCCTTTAAATGGGTGAATTGTATGGTATATGAATTATATCTCAATAAAGCTGTTACCAAAAAAAAAAAAGAACAAAAAACTTCTATGGCACTGGCACAGGAACAAACAGGTCACTGGAAAAGAAAGACAAATTCAGAATAGATCTAGATAAATGGAATACTAGTTTCTCTCATCCACTTTTGCCCCCACCCACCAACTCACCACAAAGCTGTCAGAATGACCTTTTGAAATTTAAAAGATCAAACCACTCCCCTGCTCAAAACCCTATGGTTTTCCATCACACTCAGAATAAAATATAAATTCCTTACTGGGGCCTTCTACTT